CCGGTGCGAGGCCTGGCTCGGATTGGCCCCTCCGCGCCGCTGTACCCGGCTGTGGGGACGGGCCCGCTCCGGCAGCCGTGCGCCCTGGCACCGCCCCGGTGAGACACGGCCCTGCCCGCCGGGCTCCCGCGCCTCGCCTGGGAAAGTGCATCGTTTCCGTGGAGCTGCTGAGCTCATAGTGTTTCTTCCGCCTTTTACAGCATTGCTGTTTGATAAAAGTAATCTCAGCGTGTGAACCATCGAGTACAACAGCGCCGTCTCCCCTGTGCGGCCTCGGGTGCGAGGATCTCCGTTCTCCGTGCCCCGGGGAAGGGGCTGGGCGGCTGCAGGCCCTGCAGCCCTGCGGGAGGAAAGCAGGGAGCTGCTCACTGCCGCCAGCCTTTCGTTTGGAAATGTCTGATTGATGGGAACTACATGGTGGGCTTTTGGTTCAAAAGTGGCTGCCTGGAAGGGGGAGCCAGCAGAGCAGGAATGCTTGGTGGAATGTCACCCTGGAGCTCTCGGAGCCTGGCAGTGTGCCGGGGCTCCTGAAATGTTCCCAGGGCATTGAGCGATGGAGAGCCAGGCAGCAGTTGTAAGTGGAGTGCAAAAGGTTTGATGCTGCCAAGGGGTAACAAATTAGTTACGTAATCAGAAGGTATCAATAAGTATAAGGGCAAGAGGGAGTTAAGCTTGAGACAATAACATAAATTTGAACAGGAATCTGGTTAAGCATTAGTAATAAAAGACTGAAATTAAGAGGCGGTGTAGAAGAGAAACCAACAGCATTTCATTGCTTGCTGAAGACAATACCAAAATTATTTCTAATGCAGTAACTTTTTTTTTTTTTTTTTTTCCCCCAGATGTACTTAGATAAAAATACTTATTTTCTCAATAGTATTTTCTGGTTTTCATGTTTTTTTTCCTGAAAGCTGACATTGAATTTGCATGGATTTGGAAGTTAAAGGAGTTGCTGCATCCCCTCGAAGGAAGGCTGAGTTGTCATTGAGGGTGAAGAAATGTCAGGTAGTCAATGGGAGGCTTGTGATTGTTTTTCTTCCTTACTTTGACACTTAAAGAAATATTTTAATCATACTTCAGAAGGTTCTTCGTTTGAGGTTAAAATCCATTCTATAGAGAAGACACCTTTTAAAGAAATTCTTTTTGTTGGAAAGGGATAGTTTAGTGCGACAGCTTCTGAAATGAAGGTGAGAAATTCCAATATAAACAGCTATCCTAGAATAACTGCTACTCTGAGTACTTAATTGGAATGTGGGGAATTTAAGAATGAATTTAAGTACTTGCAGTTAAGAGCAACAGAGGCTGGAACATGTACTGTGTGCTGTCTCATTCTGTTGGTGAAACTGGCAACAGGTGTGGCTGTGTTTTTGTTTTGCAAGACAGCAGTAAAGCAGCCCCCAAAATATAATTTTAAAAGGCATGATTTTAGGTCGACATGAGAGATGAATCTCAGTGCTCTCTGTTCAGTATGAAGGGAAATTACATTTTCCAGGTATTCCTAATAGTCTGCGCTTTGGGATAGGGTAGGTGTGCAATCCTCACAGGCTCACTGTAGTAGAAACTTTAGTGCTAGCTTTTGATAGTCCCTATGAATATGATCTTGGATTCTGAGGGCCATTTTTTCCTTACTGCTAAGCTAAATATTAATATTGTTAGTAACAGTTGATTTTTCTCACAGATAATGCGTATTTTATGTCCATGAACTAAAGTTAATTGCTAATCCTCCCTCAGCCCCCAAGCACTCATTTTACTTCCTTATTTGTTGCATGACCCCGTTAGAAATTCTTGGAGTTTGACTGCCAAGTTGCTGGTCTTCTTTTCAGTTTGATTTGGAATGAAAAAAGACCTTTTGTAAATGATAACACATTAATGTTATAATATTACTGTTAATGTTTTAACCAGGTTTTTTAAAATTAAATACCTGTGGACAACAGGAACATTTGGGGCATTTAGTGTAGGCTGTAAAAGAAAAGAAATGTCATTTTTTCTCTAATCTCTCATCCCCCCCCCTTTTTTTTTCTTTCTCATGCAACTAAGTTTCCAAATTTAGACTCTCTAGTCCACATGATGTTTGGTAATTTTCAAAATCAAATCTTTAATTAAAATTATGCTGAAATCATGTGCTTCACCCCAGTGTTCACAATGGCTTTTGTTTGCTTTCTTCCTGATTTGTTGACTTCTAGAGAAGGAATTATATTAGGACTTTAACATTTAGAATTAGCTGTGTTCTTTACCTCACCACAATTGAACGGTGCAGAAAAAAGATAAATATGAGATATAATGCTTTGTTTTTTGGTGCCTTGACAGTCCTACGTAGGTGACCACACGGTGGCGGTGCTCATTATGTACAGAGAACTCCAAAGCTGGAAACCCGGACTCGTTCTGGAGTCACTAGAGGGTAGTGTTGCCGAAATTCTGTTTCGGGAGCAGCTGCAAGGCTGTATGGCAAGAAAGGAGTTACAGTATTGTGCTTGCTCTCAGATCGTGAAGGATGTTTGGGCACTGGAAATAGGATTCTGCTCAGCTTAGGCTGTGATGCTGAGATTTATGAGCTGAAAAGTGTGAAAACAAAAATGTTAGTCCTGGTTCTGAATGTTCTTGAATTTTTTTTGTTTTTCAGATTTGGAGACCAGTTAGGTGAACTGTTAATTTTTGCTTGTCCCAAGCAGCCTTCCCTATGGATTTGCTGCTAGCTGTTTTCAAAAGCAGTAGGGGGATAGGAGACAGTCTTTTTTCTTGCTATGTTCTTGCTCGGTGGAGTTTGAAGATCTGTGTGCTATGCAGACTTGCAAAATAAATAAAGTGAACTGCCTAATCGTCATCACTATTACTGTAGTAAAGCTGAGATGAAACAGTTACACCAAATATCAGGAGCTCTTTGGGGTCTGAGCTAGCTCCTTGTGAGCCAGCTGGCTGTCAGTCTTGTGGTTTTGGTTTAAGGGTTGGTTCCCAACCGACAAGGACAATGTGACCTAAAGCCTTGTGAGCAGTGACGGAACAAAGCCTCAGGAACATGGATTATTTTTAATGTATTATTAATAGCTGATGTGGATGCTATCTAGATTCTTAATGGCTTGAAATCTTTCTGTCATGATGAATATTCAGTCTTCTAGTCTCATGATGTGTAAGAATTAGCTTTCAATGAGAAGTTTTGGTTTTTTTCCCCCTTGTTATTAGTGTCTTAGTCAAGTATGTTGGACAGATACTTTGAGGCTCTAATTTTAAATACTTCAAAGGAAATTGAAAGGGACAACTATGTATTTTAATCTGGATCCCCTAGGTATGTAATAATATGTCATTCTTTTAGGGCTGGAGACCAAATAGACAGGCTACACACAGTCCTCACCCACCAGAGTAAGTCTGCTTCTATTTTTTTTTTTATTCTGATCAGCTTATTTAATTATGTGTATTGTTAACACAATGCATTTGCATTTGTAGTGACGCACAACTTAGTGCATGAAATTTATCATCATAGCGATTTTTTCTGTTATTTATATTTGGAGTAGAATATTTGATGCATTATTTAATTTGGAATTAAGTTGGTTTAAATTTGGCTGAGTGGAGGTGTAATTTCAGAATGGGTAAAGATGGAAAAGAGCACATTGGGTCTAACCCACTGGTCCATCTGGTCCAACCTCCCTGCTCAAGCAGGATCATCCCAGAGCACATTGCTCAGGACTGCATCCAGATGGTTCTTCAGTATTTCCAGTGAGGGAGGCTCTACAACCTCTCTGGGCAACCTGTTCCAGTGCTCAGTCACCTGTGGTGAAGAAGGTTTTTTTGGGTGGAACTTCCTGTGCATCTAAGCATTTCTGCTCATTGCCTCTTGTCCTATTGCTGGGCACCACCCAGAAGAACTTGACTCCATCCTCTTCAGAGGGTGTCACTCAGAGCTTACATATTTATACATTGTTTTTATTGAGTATTTTTAATGTGTCTGCAAAAGGAGAAAAATGGTATTTTAACTATTGACCACTTTTACAAGTATTACAGTAAAAAATACAGAGAAACTGTTGTGAAGGGCTTTTATAAGCAATGGGAAATTTTGTTTGTGCTTTTAAAATTTAAAACCCTATAGTGACTTTGGCACATAAGGAATACCTACTCTTTCAAGGACCATGATTGATAGTTTAGCCAGTTTTGTTTACTGAAATGCCTTAAAGCCAATGTGCATAATTATTTTATAAGTGTATGTGACTATAACCTTTGATTCTTCCAACCAAAGTCAAGAAATTCCAATTTCTCTGTACTATCTGTCACTGTCTAACAAAAAAAAGCCTGTAAAATAAGGAACTCTCTTATTTCAAGAAGTTATATTAGAGTTGCTTGGATATATTTATTGGTGATAAAATATAAAGCACACGTATTGATAGTGCTCTGCAATATACCTGGAGTAAAGGCAGAAGGAACAGAGATGCTTTGATGAATTGGAGATGTTTTCATTTCTTTAAGCAGAACAAAATACTGAGGTATGGTTGTCTTCTACTGTGTTAATCTCTCATGAAATGTTCAGAAGATTTGCATTTCATGTAGCAATTGCTTCCCTGTTGCCTCTCTGTTGACTGATTATAGAGGAATGTTGACACAGATGTGCTGTGGAAGATAAGAGTAAGGTGTCCCTGATTTATGATCTTATTGCAGTAGCTCCTGTTGGAGAGTGAAGAGAGGCCAATGTGGGAGTAAAGAAGGGTCCTTTTTGGGTGCTCTGCTGCTGGGGAAGAGAAGCTCAGTGCTGAGCTGAAGCAAGAGATTTGCTGAGTAGGCCATATCCAGTTGCAGGGAAATTTTTGTGAAGGAGCTAGTAATAACTAATAGGCGGTGCTTTTATTCCAGTTAGAAAAATAAGAGATTGTATTGCTGTTAAAATTGTTTTAACTCCCTTCAGGGTGCCATGCCTAGATCTAACGAGGCTTGGAGATTCTGATGAAGAGGTAATTGTAAATTATTTTTTTCTCAAAAAGTTTTTAAAATTCACGTTTTTCAGGAATTTATAAAAGTATCACTCTGATTATAAAACAGTTATGATTGCTTTACTTTTTTTGCCTGTGATTTTAGGATGGAGACTCTTACATACCATACACTGGAAGTTCTTCTCATAGGTGCCAACTAGATTCATCTTCGGAGTGGAGAATGTCACTACAAACTCCATATGTACAGCATCAACATGTCAGTCTGTCACTACAAATACCTTTATGATATGCCCCTTTAGCAGTAATTTAGAAAAGCATGCATATATTTTTTTATGTAAGTTCTCTTTTTTTTTTACTTTTGGTTCAGCTCATATCTCCAAGTGCTGTTGGTCCAAAATATTTTTAGCTAAGTCCTTTTACTGGGATTCTTCAGAAAAAACGATTTTATTATATAGCATTGTAATTACATAGCATTGATGCACTTACCCTTTTGTTGTACTTATTTTTTAAGAGATATGTTAATAGTAGTAATAACAAAGATTATTAGTAGTAAATGTATGATTGAAGACAAAATCCATGTTTACAAGCACTAAGTATTATTTCTATGGAACAGTAGTTACTTCTGGTGAAAACTTTTTGAATTACGTGCAGCCATGTAATGGTTTTTTCCTTAGGGCTGTTGTCTTTAAAACAGAACTATGACATAAACTTTGGAATTATGTCAAATTTTTTAGCGCTCTTTTTGTTGTTAAAATTTCCTCATCATGTTGGCTTTTTTTTCCCCCTGGATAACTAAGAAACTTAATCACCCCTAGTCTTAGGTACTTTTGAAGGTAAACAGTAGCCCAGATGCAAATATTCTGGTTTACAGTACAGGGCAACATTGTTCAGGATCAATATCCAGTATAAACATTTTAAGAGTTAATTTAATTACTCAGTTAGTACACTTCCCTGAATACAGGAAAGCTGAATGCAGAGTTCTTTTGAACTCCTATATCTGAATTAAATATGAACAAAATAAATGTGACAATTTTTTATTTGATCATGATATATGTTATTTCCTGTTTTCCTTTAAACAGGTGTCTAGAAATTGTGTCAGAACAAAATGGAGGTAAAGAAGTTGAAAAAATACAGACTAACAAAAAGTCTTATCAGTTCAGTACTATCCTATATGGTCTGAAAATGTAATATGTTTTAATTTCTTTTATGTGACAGGAACTAGCTTATTGGAGAAACTACTAAAAAATACACTGATTACAAGTCCATTATTTCAAAAATATTTAATTTATGTAAACCTAAGAAATATCCAAGTGAGTTTTTTTAAAAAAAACCTCAGGATTTTAACTGGAAGGAAAACCAATTTTAAATTAATTTGTGCTTAACCTTTCCTCCTTGAAACAAATAATATAGTAACTTGAGGGGCATAACTCCAGATTGGCTGGAGTTCAAGGTGAATCTGCCAAGATCACTATTTTGTATGTTTCCCTATATAAACAAATGGTTTCTCTACTTGTAAAACAATTTCATTCAAGTAAAAACTGAAATAGTAAGTGGTTTTTTTGGTCTTTTTAAAATACTGTACTAAGAATGTACTAGTTTTTAGAATACGTGCCCAACATAGGTATTTATACATGTCTCAGGATGTAACTGTAAAACTTGTTTTACAACAGCTGTAACTACAGGTAGGTTGTTTTCCTTTCTACTGCCTTGTAAACATGCTTCAGTTGTTATAGCCTTTTTGGCTCTGTATATTTGTGATTATGCTTCTTGCTTTACCATTTTTTTTTAAATGAAGCTCATATGTATAACTCTGTCAAGCTGCAGGAGTGCTAATGGAAGGTAGGTGTGGCTTTGTTTCTCAGGGTCTTTATCCCTTTCTTTTCTGCTTTTCTTTATCTCTTGTTAATTCCTCTGCCTTCATTGTGTTTTGAATACTGAGTGCTCATTGTATTGGAATGTATCTTCTATTTACTTACCCTTTCTCTCTGTGTCCCTCTGTCTCTCTTTCTCTCTCTTTTTCTCCCTTTTTTTGCCTGACTCGCTCCCCATCTTTTTTTTGTGAAGAAGATTTTCAAGCTGTTTAAAAATATTTTAATGTATTCCTCTGAGTGGCCTTTATTTCTGCACTTCTTGCTTCTGGGGCTCTGACCAAGCTTTCCTTGAGACAGATAGATTCCGGCTTCTTCAGTAACTGTGTAAGTAAATCTTCCTAAAATAGGTCACTTTTGGAAGAAAAATTTAAATATACTCTTATAATTCAGGAATTAACCAGGGAAGGGATGTGAATCCTCTTTTGAAGGAGAAGGTTGGCTCTTCAAAAACATAAATCTTTTTGAGTTTTGAGAAATGGTTTTCTACAGCAGGACCATAACACTGTTGTTGCAAAAATGAGTTAGAAGTATTGAGTAGAGATGCTAGAGAAGGTCACCTTACTTTTGTTAGCACTGAAATAATGTGACTTAAATATTGAAGATGTTAGTTACTCAGGGGGACAGAAGAAAATTGGAATCTTGGACTTCTGTCATTGCTGCCCTTTCTACTGATCCCAGCCTCTGTTGTAGAGAGCCTTGAAATTAATGTAAGGTTAGAAAGGTAATTATCTGTGGAGCCAATGTTGTTCTAAGGAACACTGTCCCAGTTCTCATCTGCCATACAAAGTATTAGAACTTCTGACCAAAAAACATCCATCCATTTGTTTTCAACCATCCAAAAATCAAATGTCAGAATTTCTGTTTTAGTGATGTTATAAGGCAGTACCACTGAATCTGACTTCTTCATTTAAAAGTGATGTAAAACCATTTGAGTGTGTATTTTTTAGATTTAAAAACAGTAGAATTTGAAGAACTCAATGAAAATTGAGCCTGAATATGCCATCCTGTTTGCATTTTTTCTTAATTTGAAGCATCATGTCAAGAAGTTTTGGACATTATACTGGATAGGAACTAAAAAAATGCTGTTATCATTTAATAGACCAGCCAGAGGCTGTTATATTGATTACTCATTGTTTTAACATTCTGTTTTGGAGCAGAAGACAAGACCAGAAAATCTGATATCTGCCACAGACAGATCCAAACCAAAGCATGGCCAGTATGAATCAGGTATGAAGGAAGAATATAAGCAACATCCTCAGAGAACTGCAGAAAAGAAAAAAGACCACCTCCAGTGTCCAGACACTTCAATAAAGGTAGCTGGCAAAGTAGAAATTGCATTTTTAAATAGAAAATGTATATCATTATTTAAATACACTATTTGGAAAGGTTTTCACATGTATGTAATTAATTTCATGTTTTTATTGTAAGGAAATAAAAAAAAAAATTAATGTAAAAAAAATTAATGTAATTTAAGCATCTGATGTTGAGGAGGAAATAAACTGTTGGAAGGTTGTTTCAGTTGTTGCAGAGCAAGAAACTGAAGTGCTCTGAGAATTTATGTGTGGTTGTGTTCTCTGGTAAGGAAAGTAACACTGGCCTTCCTAGTGCATCTCTAGCCTGAGCCTGAAGATTATTGTGATTGATAGGGAAGAACTTAAAGCCTATAAGAAGAGGAGAGACAGCAGGAAGATCTTAGTGAAGTGTTATTTCCAAAACCAGAAATTCATTCAAGCTTCTTTATTTTATAAATCTAGAAGTATTTTAATTACTATTCTGTAAATTGGGACTGTATATAGGACTTAAAATTTTAAGGAGAAATTAAAGATTTAATCTGTTCCTCAGAGAACTATTAACATTGAAAATGCAAAGGAATATGGGTTAAAATATTGAAAGATACCTGTACTTTTTGCTTTGATATTGATGTTGTATAAGATTCAGTACAGTTGGACTGCAAGCTGTACTAGTTCTGCCAGGTTTATTTCATGTTTTTAAATTAAGGTGCAAAGAAGGGAAGATCAGTGGAGAGAAACTGGGAAACAAAGGGTTGAAAAAACCCAGCTTTAATTTTGTTTGGAAGAGATGGCAGAGGAGAGTGGTTGATCAGGGAAAGATGCATCATTGTAGGTGTAAGGAAGGAGGAAACCTAAGTAAGCAACAGCTGTGAGGACTTGGTTGAGTGCTAGATTCTGCTGAGGGTAGATGGCCATTTAAGAATCTTAATGGAAAGTTAAGTATGCAAATGTTGATGGAACATATTGTGCTCATTGCTTTTCAGAGAAAAGGTTTGTGATGAATAACAAGGAGTTTACTGAAATTACTTTGTTAACCTTCAATAGAATAAAAAGGGAAGGTTTTTCAAAAGAAAGATTGTTTCACATATTGTAGATAGCTTTAAAAGAGCTTTCTCTTCATAGTTGTGCTTCTAGTGATCAGATAAAAGAGAACATGAAAAAACCTATTAAACATTCTGTGAATAAGTGGTGAATGAAAAAGAAGTTGAGGTATTTTGTTGTTTAGTTTTATGTTTGGTGGCAGGTAAGATTTTCTGTTCTGGAGATTTGTTATAGTTTGGTGTTTTTTAGGTTTTTTTTCCTAATGATTCCACTCTAAGTGTGACACTCATAATCTGTTTTTCAAGAAGTGACTCCTTTATGCAAGCCCATTGAAAGGGTATTTACAGGAGCAGCCAAGTTAATCTGAAAATGAAGAAATAGATGGCAAATGTATGCCGGGAGAAAAAAATTGGGACTGGCTTTTTTTTTTCTGGTGATTTTGGATTCCAGAAAGATACTTGCTAAGCACTAGAAGCATGTGTGTTAATTCTTGTCACAGATTTTTATATAATGTCTATCAGAACAATTTTTTTGTGTTAGATATTAACACTACCTGGTTAGATGAATAAATCAAAATATTTCAACACGCTTGTTTTGATTGATTAGTGGAACTTGTAACAACTTACCTTTTCTGAAAAGAAGGTGCTCCTGGAGGAGATTGCTAACAAAACCCACTCTTTTGATTTCTTTCCTATGCTACCTCTGTAGCATAGGAAAGTTCTGGAAAAACTGAGTTCTGGATAAACTTCCTGTATCCCTTTTTTTCATATTGTCCTTGTAGGAAATATTTCTGTAATACCCTGGGACTGGTTTACAAGTCTGTTAGAATCAGTAGCATGCTTTGGCTTTTCCCTGTCTAGGCTGTATTTGACTTCACTGGTCACAAAGCTCTACAGTGAGCTTTGAGCTTTATGCCTAAGAGCAAATCCTCTGCTTCCACTTGGTTGTTCCTGAGCAGAACAGAAAAATGAGGAGTTCTTGTCTTCTCCTCAGAGATACTAAAGTCTGCTTCCTCTGACTTGCTGTGTTTTTTCACAAAGCTTGTAGGAACAAAGTATTTTTGAGATATTTAAATTTATTATTTATTTCAGTATGAATGAAAACTGGTAATTATTCAAAAGATACAAATCTTGCTCTCTAGTCTTTCCTTATAAAATTCAGTTTCTGTAAAAAGCTAGGCTTAAAAAAATTCTCTTTTAATTAGCATGAAGTAGAAGAAGTAGACGTTTTAAAAAGTAAAGAAGAAAGTATTACTTTTAAATAAATTGTTGAGGAAAACATGTGTGGGTTTTTTATTTTGTTTTTATTACATTTCATTATAAAAAGAATGTATTTTTGTGTAGGGTACACAGCTTGATGATGGACAAGATGATTTTGTAACTATTGATAAGAAAGCTCTCCTGCAACAATGCTATACAAACAAGCCTTATAAAATGCAGCACAATGTAAGGAAATCAGAAGCTGTAAGTATTTTGACTGGTGTTATCCTGCTGACCACCTAGATGTGGAGAATGGCTTCTCAGATGTTCAAGAGAAGTCATGCCTTTGGGGATTTGGGTCTAGTATGTAATTGCACTCATTAAAATCATGTGAGTTTAAACTTTCTTTCAATGGTAGTTGAACTGAGCAATCCAGTGGGCATTTTTAAAATCTTATCTGCAGTGCTTATATTTTATGCAGTAATCTATATAAATGAGAACACAAATTATGAGTAATATATACAGATACATTCATACAAATAAAAATAACTAAGGTGGTTGAGTGAACCTAAGTATAATGTTACATTCAGTGTCAGAAGCTGGACTTCAGTGTCTCTTCCAGCTTAGTATATTCTATTATTTCCTCTGATCTGTAGCTTTTAGCTGAGCCTGTATTCAATGGTTCATGGATTCCATAATTCCATCAGCTAGTATTACACTGAGTCAGCAACAACTTTGGCTGTGTCTTCAAGCTCTAGGGATGGAGCTTCTACAGTGTCTCTAAGCAATATCTTCATGTGTCATGCTATTCTCTGTGTGAAGAAATTCCTTCTATTGTCCACACCAATCTTCCCAAGGCTCAGTGTGCAGCCTTTACATCCTGTTATACTGTTGGCTTCTGTCAAAAAAAGTTTGGTTCTCTTAATTTTGTAACTTCTCTTCAGATTGCCTCATAGCTGCTGGTTCTGCAAACTAAACAAACCCAAGCTCCCTTAGCCTCTCCTTTCAATTGTTTTTGCTCTGATCTTTTGTCAGATCCTTTCTGAAGGAAGGAGGGAGCCCTGAAGTCTAGAAACTAGCATGGACTCACTAGCATGCAGAGAGGAGAATTAAAACTTTCCTTACGTGGATGTACCCAATACACTTCTTTAATTTCTTACATAGACATGAATTTTACTCTTACTGGGACTGAACAATAAGAGTCTTGCCCATTTGAAGCCAGGCCTTGAATCCAGCCAGGATCATTTACAGTGATGAAGAACCTTAATTTGATATTGCATGATTCAGTATTTGCATATGCAGAGTGATGGCTTTTATAACTGTTTTTTGAAGGTATTGCTGAAAAGGGTTATGCATTCTAACTTTCTCATAGAATATTAAGTCGTGAGAAATTTTATGACTTTTTAAAAATAAATAGTAATTTTAATTCATTTTATTTGCTTGTCACTGTGCACTGAATTTTGCACCATTGCAAGCATTTATTTGATTTCTAGTCTTATTGAAGTGAATGCAGATGTTGCTCTACTGAAGTCACTGTTAATTTTCATGATAAGAAAGTCTTTTGAGAAAGTACTTAAGCTTTTATTTTTAGAATAAATTTTAAAATCCATACTATCATCTAAAGTTAATGGAAAAAAGTCTTGAATTATCCCAAGAAAAACTACTTAATGCTAAAGCAAGTACTGTGAAAGCCCTGAGAAAGGGAGCAGTGCAGAACCACAAAACAGGAGACATTCTGTAGCTGTCATGCTTTAAAAGAAAGCCAGCAGGTGTCTGAGCAAGGTGTTACTGTGACCTTTAGAAGCCCTTTTGTTATTATGAGTTAGCACTCATGGTTAGCACCAGCTGACTCTCTCTTTTGAGGACCATCTCAGGCTCTCCTAGGTCCAGCTTCTGATAGTGTTAGAATACTGAAAAAAACTGCCAGTAATAACTGCATGTGTATTAATTCCATTTTGTATATGTTGCCTCAATTGTTGGCATTTCATTTTAAGGTACTTGAAAATTTTGCTTAAGGATACACAATGTTAATATGTCCTTTTACTGCAATCATTACCAAAAAGTCAAATGTTAAAGTAGAACTTCTCTTGATTTTTCTGTGATTTGGGATGAAAGTTCACCAGTGGGGTTTTGCTGGGCTCCATTTTAGGCCCTGTACTCTTCAATACCTTCATAAATAATTGGACACAGGACTGGGATACTGAGCAAGTTCACAGATAATACAAAACTGGGAGGAGCTGCTGACTCCCTGGAAGGCAGGAGGGCCCTGCACAGAGACCTTGGCATACCAGAGAGCTGGGCAATCACCAAACACATGGAGTTCAACACTGAAAAGTGCTGGATTCTGCTCCTGGGACAGGACAGCCCTGGATGGACAGACAGATTGGGGAACGAGATGCTGGAGAGCAGTGCCAGGGAAAAGGACCTGGGGGTCCTGGAACCTGAAAGTTGAACCTGAGCCAGCAGTGCCCTGGCAGCCAGGAGGGCCAACCCTGTCCTGGGGGCATCAGGCCCAGCATGGCCAGCCAGGCAAGGGAGGGGATTGTCCTGCTCTGCTCTGAGCTGGGGCGGCCTCTCCTCAAGTGCTGGGGACAGGTTTGGGTGCCGCAATATAAGAAAGATATTAAAATACTGGAGAGCGTTCAAAGGAGGGCAACTAAGATGGTGAAGGGTCCTGAGGGGAAGCTGTATGAGGAGCAAATGATGTCTTGGTCTGTTCAGCTTGACAGAGACTGAGGAGTTACCTCAGTGTGGTCTTCAAAGCCCTCATGAGGGGAAGAGTAGCGACAGGTACTAATCTCTTCACTCTTGTGACCAGTGACAGGACCTGAGGGAATGGCCTGAAGTTGTGTCAGGAGAGGTTTAGGCTGGATATCAAGAAAAGGTTCTTCACCCAGAGTGTGTTTGGGCACTGGAACAGGCTCCCCAGGGAAGTGGTCACAGCACCAAGCCTGACAATTCAAGAAGTGTTTGGACAATGCTCTTGGGCATATGGTGTGACTCGGGAATGGTTCTGTGCAGGGCTAGGAGTTGGACTCGGTGTTCTTTGTAGGCCCCTTCTAGTAAGAGTCCATTGCCAATAAATGTCATATATAACCTCTGAAGAAGTTTGGTTTTCCCTGAATGCTCATATTTAGAGAACAGCAGTTACTACTTTTTTATCACTGAGAGCTGCTGCAAGTTCAGTGTTTGCCTCGGCCCTCCACATTTTTGTAATTTCATAGTAGAGCTTTTGTCTAAGAGCAGAATGGAAGATGTTTCATGAAAGATTACATGCAGTAACCTAATATTCAGTTGAAGTTTAAGGTGTAAGGGTTTTTTTCTGCTTTTTTTTTTTTTTTTTTTTAAAATCAGATTCTTTTTAGCATGCTAACTGGTTTGGATCTATAAGCCAGGGTCCATGGAATATATTATAACAAATACTGCTCTATACTGTCACTGTGTCCTCTTTTACATCATTCTTTTTCATAAATCTGTTGCAACAGTTAATGGGTAAAGAATGAAAAATTCAGAATAAAGCACCCTGTATTTCTTATAGGTGTAAAAATGAAACATGAAAGCAAACTGAAAAATCCTCTATCTCTTATAATTCCAAAATCTTCTAAGGCTTAAAATCAGTTTGGAATAACCAACCGCTGGTTTGGTGTTACATTAGTTATTGGGGTTTTTTTGATTTGTTTTTCTTTGTATTCACTAGTGCCAGTCAGTATTTATTTGAAGATTGTGAATTCTACCCATAACATCTCTTATTTATTTATTTGTTTGTTTGTTTGTTTTTTATTATTTTAAAATTATCTTTATTTTATAGGTACCTAGAAACTTTTCATTTCTTCATTCACACAAAAGCTGGATTTCTCTCGAATTTGCTTTACACACAATACCAATTAGAAAAAATATCTTAATTATTTACTTTCAGAATATCTAAAAAATATAAGCATAAACTCCCTTAGTAACAATAATCTCTTTTTTCTAATGTATAAAATTATTTGTTTTTTAATAAAAGGCAAATTTAAATTTGTAAAAAAGTTCAGAAATGTGGAAGATAAAGAGAGGTGCTGAGGCTTGGTTATTACTGGTGGCCTCCATACTCTCCTGGGCTATCCCCTTTTGGATGGAACCTGCTTTGGTTTCTCTCTTGTGTAACAGGTTATGATCAGTGCCTGCACACATTAAAGTGAAAGGCACAAGGTTATGGTTCAGTGTTACTCTAAGAAAAATAATAATAAGATCATGTTAAATACCCTTTTCCCTTTAGGATGATATTTCCTGAAAGGTTTTTCAGATTTTCCTGTCTCAGCAGAAAATTATTGTGGCATGCAGGAAAGAAAAATCTTGCAACTGAGACTAAGTCTTAAAAGAATTTTTTTGACTAAAATTGCTGGAGGTAAAGTTTCATTCTCTTAGTTGGAATCTCTGTCACCCATAAAAACTGGAACAATGGGAGTCTTCTCAGTCTCCTATTGTACTTACAAAATGTATTGGAAACAATACAGAAATAAGGATTTAGCCTGTCAACCTAAATACTAGAAGTCTCCTATTTATTACAACTAATATGCATAGATAAATTGAGTGTGTACTAGAGAATATTATATGTCTATTTTTTATGCAAATAGAACCCTAACCCTATTAAAAATGTAAAAAAAATATTAATTGTGGCATGGGTAAGTTTGTGACCTCTGAATGCTGTCTTAAAGGGTAACTTGTTATTTGAAGTGCCTATTGTTATATATTTTATTTGTTCTCAGACAGTTTTTCATTGCAGGAGGATGTGGCTGCAGAGAGGAGAAAACAGGCTGTTGTAGAACAAGTTATGGTGGATCAATTATGTAGGTAAATGAATTTATAATGTAAAATTTCAATTTTCCCTACAGAAGAATTTAGATGTTAGTGGATGGCTTAAGAGGTGTTTTGGTCATCTTATGAAGTCTAATGTAGTAGTATTATTTGCAAAAATTCTTTAAATGGAAAGTCTTTTTAATACAACTTAAACTATCAGTTTAAAGTGCCATGTGTATGTTATTTTTTTTTCTGGAAATAATTTTTAATTTTATACTTTAACATATTTTAAGGTCTTTACAATAGCGCTAGCTCTCAAAAGTAGCCCTCTTGCACCTCAAGAAAATATATGGATGCCTGATGTTATAAATTACACATCTTCAATATTTATTGTCCTTTTTAAAAATATTAGCTTTAGTAATATTTATTGATTCTTTATTAATACTGACACAACACCTTTCAGGCATAAAGAAGTATTATACCAATGCTGGGCATGTAGAAACAAAAAAGGCAATATTATAAGTTGAGGTTGTACGGTAAGATCTCCTGCCTTCATTGCTGTCCCTTTAGCTTCAAGAAAGCATCACTTCTGTGCAGAAAGATCCCTCTATTTTAAGCATGCTTTAATAATTCAGGGCTTTATGCAAGCTGTCTGGTTATGACAGTATAAGATGCAAGCTTGTTTAATATAGTTTCATGTTACTTTACACTTCCTAAAAATTATCTGTGGGTATGTCTAGATTATTTTGCATTCTGTGCATAGTTTACAATCTCTGGAGTCATCTGCAGTGGTGTTCCAGCCCATCAAATCCTCAGATTTTGAGGCTGAAATGTTGTTGCAGTTCACCATTTTAGTTTTACTTTGTTTCTGTTACAATGACTGTTTAAATGACCTATATTGTTTAAAAGTCTGTTAACACTTTTACACTATTTAAAAGCTGACATGACAAGAAGGCTGCCTGAGGGAAATAAGACTGTCATGAAACACAGTGTTAAATTCCAGTTTTAATCCTCATTTAGTAGGATTAAAATTATGGAGCTATACAGGGTAGAAACCCCTGGTTCTCAGATAAGTGCTGGGCCTGTGTCATATCCCTTTAAAGATTATTACAGAAGTGATCTTAAAAATATGCTGGTTATATTGAAGTGTTTCAGTACTACTGATGTTGCATTAAATGAACAGCTTTGTGCATCTTGGATCATGGATGCCCATTCTGTGTTTAGCTCCTTCTGCTGCTTTGCCTTATTTTTCCATGTATTCCTTCTTCTACTCTGAAACCTTCTGTTGATAATGTCAAAACAATATTCAGTAGTGCTGCAGCTGCATCAAGTTTTAATTTAAAAAATCTCTCTGTTTATATTCCAAATATAACCCTGCCTGTACTTCCAAACAAATTGGTATCAGATATCAGGATGTTGATCAGAAAAGATTAGTTCAAAACTGTTGCATGAAAAAAGAGCTATTTAAAGAAATACAAAGGTGTTTTGAATATTTTTTTTAGTAGGCAAATCTTGCAGTTAAATCAGTGTAACTGATGTGTCTAAAAGATGTATCTGTATAGATCAGAGAGCAAGTTTAGAAAACTATAATAGCCATACAAAATTATTATTTCCCTTCTGATAACCATTTCAATAGCATAACAAGCATCTCATTTATTTTTAAAGGGTCTCTTACTTGTTGAACTGATACAGAGAATATCAAAATGTTCAAAACCCAGTTCATCTATTTCTTTTCTGCTTGTTGGAATGTTGAAATCCTCTCAGCTGTGTAGTTAGCACTTTGAGGAAGGAAGTGACAATGTTTTTATTGGATGACACATTGGATGGGACTCTGAGCAACCTGGTCCAGTGAAAGATGTCCTGCCCACAGCATGTGGGTTGGGGCTAGATGATCTTTATGTTGCCTTCCAACCTGGGCTGTTCTATGGTTCTGAGGTGATGTCACTGGCCAGTGCTAGTAGCTGATATCACTGATACTGGAGGGAGCAGTGGTTAAAGAATATCACTGATGGAATATTTACAGAAATAGTGGAAATGATGAAAAACCCCACAAGCCTTCATAATAATAAGATTTATTTTATATGAAGACACATAAAGTATACTTTAAATAATATGTATCTGCATGCAACATTGCTGTGTAGCAGTGCACTGCCAGAATATTAATGCGTATGTTTGATTTTAAGAAATAGACTTAAGAATTTGTACAAACATACAAAAAAGTAGACCCACAAATTTATGCAAGCTTAATGGATAACTCCAAGATTGTATTACTGTATTATTCTTGGGTATTTTCTTTCCTGCATTAAAATATATAAGACCTGAAATTCAGCCATACAAATAGTCAGAGGGCTTCTCCTTGCTCTTTGTGGTCAGAGCTGTCATAAGTGATCCAGAGCAGTCCACACGTTCTGATGCTTGCAAGGAAGCTCAAGGACTTCTGGGAGCTGGCATAGCACCGATGCGTTTTAGAAAAAGGACACTCCATGAAACCAAGTAAGTTTATAAAAATAAATTTTCTGCTGTATATATTTTTGTTTAGCTCTGTGAATTCTGTTTGCAAAACCTGTGAGAGCACTGTTAAGCTTGTATTGATATTATTCATTACAAGGATTTGCCAGCCTTTTCCAAGTGGTTGGATGCTTGCAATCCTGTCAGTATCCTTTTAGAGATTCCTATCCTTAGGTGCATAAATTGCATAAATATGCATCTGTAAATGCTAATGTAGATCTTCACAATATAATCATACTTTTCTTGCATGTTTTGATTTCTGCTGCAATAATTAACCCTATTGGCATTTAAATGACGTTCCTGGACTATCAACATTGAACTAGTTGCTCCAAGGACTTAAAAAAACCTGAGGAAACACTGTGATACATAAAATTAAATGAATCTGCAGGTCTTGAGCTTTGTTCTGTTAATTTTTCTCAACATTCAGACCAGCATTTCTGCTTTGGGCATTTTAACATCCTGCTCTAAAGTCTTTCTCATCAAATGTCATCTCTGTATTCTTAAAAAACAGGAAAAAAGGCAACAAAACCAGTCTCAATTTCTTACAACCATCGCATAGACAAATGTGATAATCTCCATTTCTGGAACTAGTAATAGGGCCAATATAAAATATTTAGGTGGGTACAAAAGCCCCAACCTGGGTATTTTTGCAACAGAGCACATTGGTTCATGGAAGTATGGTGAGTGGTAGAGATAAAGGTTAATTCTTTATATAAGTGTATGTAAACACAATTTCCCATTCATATCTATGTTCTCTGTGAATGTACTCTCATGTTATATAATAACAGAGCACTTTACAGCTCTGAGTTGCTTTCTAATTCAACTACAAAGGATCATCTCCTCAGCCAGTTGCCAAGGATACCGTATTTCATGGTTTCAGCTGTTTGAAAATGGTTGAGTTTTATGTAACATTTATCTGTGGGCATTTAGGTGTCATTAACATGCTGCTTTATTTTCACAGAGGAAGGACCAAATCAGGACTAACTGAGAACATGCTTTCCAACAAGCTACGCTTTGATAGTAGGATTATATCGAGGTAATCACAAAATTTGTGAAGCTTTTCAGTGCTCTGAATTTGTGAATGAGGATTACTCTCTTGAACTGATTAATTGCACTGAATAGCTCTATTCAGGACAGTTACCACAGGGACTGTGTAAAATAGTGCTTTTAGCTGTTGCATCTCAGTTGATTAAAATTATTTTAGCCTTATCTTAGATGTGGCAACTGCTATAAGTAGTAATGGCTTTGCAACTTGTTCATAGCTCCTTATGTATTAAACTTTAGAATGTCTTTACACTGTTACAATTTGAGTAGTGGTAGCATAAACACGAAAGTGATGCTTTTTTGCAGCTGTGAGCTGTATACTTGTTAGACATAGCTGGGTATTCAGCAACATACTTTCATATACCTCAGTGAATGCAGTAGTCCTGGTGTATGTAATCCTTTAGTTAATTAGTTAATCAGTGAAAATTATATTGGAATACTAAAATATGAAGCCTTGAGAGGTGTTTTTGGCATTGTGGAGAATAGAATATTGAATTAAAATATGTGACCAAATGCACAAGCTGAATTTCATGGTGGGTTAGAGAAAAAAGTCAGAGAGCTCTTTAAAAAAATAAATTTTACATGCAACATTGGAAATAAATTGAATACTGAGAGCAGCCTTGAGGAGAAGAACTTGGGGGTGCTGATCAATGAGAAGCAGCGTGCTTCTTGCACACTTGATCTGGCAGTGTGCACTTGAGCCCAGGAAACCACCTGTGCTTGGGCTGCACCAAAAGAAACGTGGCCAGCAGGGTGAGGGAGGGGATTCTACTGTTCTTCCTCTCTCCCATTAGACCCCACCTGCAGTGCTGTGTCCATCTCTGGGATCCCCAGCACGAGAAGGACCTGTTGGAGTGATCCACAGGAAAGTCACAAATATAATCAGAGGGATGGAGCACCTGTCTTATGAAGACAGGTTGAGAGAGTTGAATTGTCCAGTCAGGAAAAGGGAAGCCTCCAGGGAGACCCTCTTGCAGCCTTCCAGTGCCTACAGGGAGGCTGCAGGGAAGATAGAGAGGGACTTTTTTAAAGGGTGTGTAGTAACAGGACAAGGGGGAATGGCTTCAAACTAAAAGCAGGCAGGTTTGGATTAGATAACAGGAAGAAATTCTTTACTGTGAGGGTGGTGAGGCACTGGAACAGATTGCACAGAGAAGCTGTGGATGCCCCATTCCTGCAGGCATTCAAGGCCAAACTGGATGGAGCTCCGAGCAGAGGGGTCTAGTGAAAGGTGTCATGGCCCATGCCAGGGGTTTTGGAACTAGATGATCTTTAAGGCCTCTTCCAACTCAAACCATTCTGATTCCTAAATAAATGTTACTTATTTTTGGGTTGAATTGGATTCATATAGATGAAAAAAATAAAGGTGCTTTTCAATTTTCCTTCTAGAAATGGTCATGATGCTTGTAGGGAGTTGATTGGATTTTTTTTTGCATGTGACAAATCCCTTACTGTGTATGAATATCGACAGTTTGGAAAAAACAGGTAGGATTAATTACTTTTTTAAAGGGTTTTATAAAACATTTCACTGTATCTAAGAAGCTTAAATAAATTTCATTGTTTTAGTACTAGTTTTGTATTATTTCACAGAACAAATGCCTTGCCTTTCATTCAGAAGGGAGTTTATCAACATCAACGTGGACAAAGAAAGGGAAAAGCTTATGATCTTAGTGACTTCTACATTGTAAGTATTCTTCTGCTGAATATCTTTTTTTGGAGGCAATATTTGAATATTTGAATTATAAATTGTGATCTAGACTTCTTTTAGTCTGAGAAGACTTAAAGTCTTCCCCTTGAATTAAAGATTCTCAGAAGTCTGGATTGTTTTGTTGTCCCACGTTTTAGAAGTTGCCAATTTAGGTTTCAGATTAAGCTGTAGCTTGCAGTTTTCCCCCTAGAGGGCACAAGACTGCTGACAGTGTGGACCTTTTTTGGACGAAATGATCCACTCGGCAAGGAGAGTCCTGAAGACGAAGTAGACCAAAGTACTTGTTAAAAGTAAATAGTCTTTGCAAGGTCTGCTGGCATTTTAAACTCGAAGCAATGATTAAATATTTATTAAATGAAGAAATTGCAGGTTAATTGTTTTTAGCCTACAGTTTGAAATGTAAACAGCCAGATGTTTAGAGAAAGTGTATGAAACAATGTTAAACTTTGTCTACCAGCTAATCTGATGACTGACTAAAAATCATATAGCACCTTCTGTACTGCTCTACTTTTGTACTGGGTGAAGTGTTCATAGTTTATAAATACTTGAGCAAGTTTTCAAGTACAGGCTGTTTTCACCAAATTCTTCACGTGCTCCTCCTTCAGATCTGAAGTTTAGAGGGAAAACCGTGATTGTAGAAAGTAAAAGAAGTCAACATTAGTTTTTAGTGTGTTTTGTCTAATCATCTGCCTATCCTAACTGTTTACACAGCCACCTAAGAATTTCAAAGATGAAATAGATGAGTTTATGATATGGAAGAAAAAACTACTTTTTGGGATTTTAATATTTTATTGTCATGTGTATTATTGCAGCCTGCAGATGGAAATGTGTTCTGAGTAAAGGTTCATCATAAAGTCATCCGGAAAGTGCACTGTGTTGAGTTCAGTAGCTCTTTGGGATGATGCTGTGTCTGTGAATCTCCATATCTGCAATCTTGCTTTATGGGCAGACATTAAGATATGCAGATCTTTCACAAAGTCCAAGTGCTTGAGACCCCTGCACAATATCAGTGTCTCTGTCTCCTCCCAAATTCATCAGTTTTGGAGACTTTATAAACCAAGACCAGATATTACTGTCAGAGCTACTGCATTTTTTTTATTCTTCTCAACATTCTTTGCTTTTAGCTTCCTGCTTTTCTTTCTTTCCCTTTCCCCTCTATTTACAAAATACACAACCTATTTTTAAATCATTGTGTGCTTTATCAACAGGGAGCCAATCTGACTTTCCGAAGTGTTGATCATAACCTTCCAGAAAGTGTTAAGCAGAACCCCATCTTCACCCTTCGTGTGATAAGTATTGATGAAGCAGCTATGGATAATCTAAAGTAAGTGCTGCTAACTGCTTTTCAAATTACCTTACCTTCCTTAAGCAAAAATAAAAAAAATTAAGCTCCTAATACCTTATTACTTACACTGCTAAAAACAGAATCCATATTTAGGCTGTTCATAAGAGAAATTAGTAATAGATGTTAGAGGATTTTGCCTAGTTCTGTAACTTCCTAGAATGGTAAGGAGTAATTTTAAAGTAAGAATTGAAATGTGAAGCTGTTCTATTTTCTTTGCTTGAGGTCACATGTTTTTATATGCAAATCATATACCTCCTGTGTTTCAGTTTGTGCCCATTGCCTCTTGTCGACAGGCACCACTGAGCAGAGCCTGTCACAGTTTTCTTTACTCATTTCTGCCAGGTATTTATATATACTTGAGGGCAAGATCACTCAAGGCTTCTATTCTCCAGCCTAAACAGTTCCAGCTCTCCCAGCCTCTCCTCATATATCTTATACTTTGATCCCTTCCTGATTAGGAAGAGACTAATTTTAATCTCAATTGAATATGCTCAGTATGTAAGGACTACTTTGTTAGCAGAACTTGACTGTTATTTTCTTTCTGCAAGTGTTTAGACACATGAAGCTTGTTCTCAGATATGGTAATATTCACTTAAAGTCCCTTTAGACTGGAAGCTTTGCAAAGGAGCCATAGTAAGCTAACAGTGCATAGAACAGTAAATTCGAATTTAATTGGTTCTAGAACTGTATAGTTGTATGATGCTTACTGCTAATTGTTCCCTCTTGGCAAAGTTTCAGTGAAATAAAACACAATATAGTTTAATTTCAGATAGTTTATGTAAGACATTTTACATCTCAGAAACCTATCATTCAGGTAAACAGCTTCTTCTTTCATTTGTTGCTGATCTTATACCTGTGAAATTTGGAGTTGAACCAATGTTATCTCTGAATAGAAGAACCAAAAAGAAGACCTGCTCCAGTGCGTTGTAATTTTGGATTTTGTGCTATCTGTGTGGAATAGATTATTTCCTTTTTTATACTCTCTCTGTATTCTTTTCATTAGTGACTAAATTTCAGTCTGTCTTTTTCTTCTCTATGAGGATGTTATTGAGCTCTCTATTCTCTGGTGCAAAATGCTTGAATTGAGTCCTCTTACCTTCATTACTCTACTGACTGAAAATCCTGTTCAGCTACAGTCCAAAAAGTCTACTGCAGGTTCCCAGGAGCAGCTATGCCCTTCTGTCACAAACCATGAATCATTTGGTTTACATCTGTTCTAGAGGGGAGTGCATTGTCCTCTGCAGGTGCTTCTTGACTTTCCAGTTTAGGTGATCTGGTGTAGGTAAGCTTTTAGGGACTTCATAATGAGGGGTACCCAAAGTGGAGATGAAGAGTCCTACTAGATAACAGAGAGATAAGTCTTTGGCCTCAGAAGGCAGGAGTATGTCATGGCAAAACACTGGTGAGCAAGCAGTTTTACATTTTTTTTTTAATATTCTGATTAAAATAATTTCAAGTCTTTTTCGTTTTTTTGGGTTTTTTTTCTTCCAGTAGGTTCTTCTGCAATTTTAACAACCTTTATAGTAATTTCTGATGAAGACTTGTGGGAAGCTCTTCTCAGAAGGGAGCTTAGCAGAAATAATCCCACAAAATTTAACCATAATTTCTAGATATGCTTTTGGTCTACACCTTTGCTATTTGTGTTCTAAAGAGAGATTTGAAAAGTATTTCATGTTATTTTCCTGATGGTGATTAAATGCGGTTGCTTTAACAAACTCTTCCAGTGGTATGAGATTAAGATTGAACTAAATTTCTTGAGATTTTATGCAGGGGAAGAATTATCCATGGTTAATGAATTAGTAGAGGAAATGCCAGTTAATAGTGTTAGAAAAGAATTTCTGCATATCTGCAGCTAGTCAGCAAGGACTTTTGTGAAGGCTCTCTCAAACTCAAGCAATTGGATATTGTTCTTATTAGGGTCATATATGAATTAGAGTTGAATATGTTGGCATTTTTTATTACATCTGTTTTGAATATAGTCACATTACATGTAATTTCACCAATCAATATTAATTTTGACTTCTTTAGAGCTTCTTCTGTGGAGCTCAAGGAAGAGTGTTCCAGGAAAGTGGTTGATGACAGCAAAGTTTTCAAGAAGATTCAAGGTTTGTATCTACCAGAACCCATTTAATTTTAATATCTATATCTCTGTCTTCACAGCTCAATGCAATGAACAATAGCAATGTTATGAAGATTTTGTGTAAATTAAATTAAACAAAAGTTAGATATTTATCAGAATATTATTAGAATCTGTTAGCAGCACAAATCACTCATAAAAGCTTTCTCCTATCTCTTCAAATAAACAGACTGGGTAAAGATTGTGCAGAATGTACAGAGTAATTATGAATGTAATCAATAAAATGTTAATCTCTGTGTTGACCTAATCCCTGAAAAAATTCTGAAAAATAACACTGATGCTATGTTACACTGTCATTAAATTTGTTATTGGCCAAGTGTACAAACACCATCTCATTTCTTCCATCAATTTTGTGGTAGATACATCTTTTGGCCATCGCTTCTATACACTGATAAGTTGCATTTTGATATTCTCTATTATTTTGCTTTTTAAAAATTATGAGTATAATTGTGCAGTGTAGTCTGGAATATATAAATAAATTCTACCATGTTCCTATCTACAGTCTTTAGGATAAAGGCATAGCTTTTTGCTGAAGATTATGGAAAGATATTTGTACAGTGTTGTGTATTATTTTTGCAACCTTGTCAATAAAAATGGTTGATCTGAGCAGCTCACAGCTTGTATAATCTCCCCTGACTACTGTCATTAACCTGCTTTAAGTGGGCACTCTTTGGTCACTAGAATCTGCTTGGACATTGACTTTTACAAAAAAATTGTTGGACTAATAATTAGGGTTATTAGGGTTATTTTTTAATCTTCCATTTTCCCCTTGCATAACTAACACAAGCTGACTTTTCAGTTATCTGACTACATCTAAGGTTTGCTGGTGTTCCCTGGAGGAATGCTGTGTGTGTATTCTTCAAAGCACCTTTTAACATATGTCTGAGTTTCAGCATTACTGGAAAAAATTTCCTGCTTTCACCTGGCCCCTATTTGTCTTTAAAACTGTAGATACAACTAATTTGAAGGTAATAGCATAAGACTTCTGTTAACAAAGCTGAGAAACTCAGACATCCCTAAGTGAAATTGCCAGCTGAAGACTTTCATAAATCTTACCAGAGAAACTGCGTATAATTTGGGAATGATTTTGCCAAATTGGTCATTTTTGTTCTCGTTTCTACATGCACTTAACAAGTTTGTAGAAGAAAGAAACAACTCTGTGTCTCATGATAGAATTTTTGTATTGTTCTGAAGTAGTTGTTCCAAAGTTACTTTGTATGGTAAATCATGGCATGTAATTTATTCTCACAGAAGCAGGCAGTTTTACAGTCTTAACATATAGAGGGCAATAGCCATTTCTCTTTTCCTTATGTAGTCTCTTTGAAAAAATTTTGTTAGATATTGCTTGTTAGACATACTTCATATGACTTCCACTCCAATGGTAAATGACTGATCGTTTCCTTTTGGACGGGCATTCTTTAATCAAAGACAAGGGAGCCCCAATGCACGGGTATGTCTTTCTAACAAGCACCATCATATGTAGACATGGTGTTCTTTACTTCTATATTGTCTCCATAGCAAGTGGATAACTTCAGGTAAATGTTGTGTCCTTGATTTCTCAAAATCCTCAGGTATATTCAGAGAAACACTAAGTAAAAGAGGAGTTCGGGTTATAACAGGCTTAGGAAAATATTTCCGACAAATAGACAAGAGCAGAAATGGCTTTCTTTCTCAAGCAACCTTGAAAGAAGCTCTAAAAGTATTCCATTTGGAAATACCTGAAGGGGTGAGTCTAGCTGAAACTGTAAACATGGGTATTATCTTTCTTAATTTATGTAATTGCTGCTTTTCTTTGCTTAAATCTATAGTTTAATGCCTGGGTTGTGCATGTTTTCCTTTGGTGGTTTTTTAATTTCCCTTATAGTATGTTGGCATTTCTGCATTCAGTTCTATGTGAAGTTCTTCAAAATAAAAAATACTATCTTTAAAAACATACAATCTTTTTACATCATGACATGAAGAAGCAAGTGTGATTGCAACCCATTTTTTCTCTTTAGGCTTTAAAAAGATAATTTAGTTTATGCTCTTTACTTAGGTTTTTTCTTTGTTTTATATATTTTGTTGTAAAAGTAGCTCACAGCTATCAGAACTGTGAATAACATGAATTATGGTCATCAGTGACCACTGATGACATGCATTATTTTTACAAATCTTTGAGTGAGTTTGGATCTAGAGGTTTGGGGTTTTTTGTGAGAATACTGTAACTTTCCATTATAGCAATTGACGTATTTCAGGATATAGTGAAGAACTTTGGCAAAATATTTTTAAATTGCAGGACTTTGAATCCTTATGGCTTATTCTTGATGATAGCAAGAGTGATAAGGTCGACTATGGAGAATTCACCCATGCCATCTTTGGAGAAATGAATGAATATAGGAAAGCATTTGTAAGAAAAGTAAGTTTTATTTCAGATATTTAAGTGTAAATATTACATGGTCTAACTTTGGAGTTAGTTACTCATTCTAGTTGTTGAGTTTTGTTATTATTTTTCTTAAGTTCTGTACCTGGAAACTGACTTCTTAAAGCTTCAGTTCAGTTTAACAACAGAAAGGTAAATTAGTGGACTGTTAAAATAGTTCATTTTAAATTCTAGGAATAATTCTTTTATTATTTTGAGTTTTCATGCATATGTGCTGCTCTTATAGTTCAGTCCAGAGTATAAAGCATCTGACGCCTTTAGATGATCTCTTCCAAAAGTCTGTTTCCTTATTTTTGCAAAAGACAAATTTTGGCAAATCTGCATGAGTAGGCTTTCTTCCTGCAGTGCCTGAAATAGGAGGCATTAATACTTGTCTCCTTTGAGACCTACAGTAAGAGTCATATTTGTGAGACATGTTAGGTGTGAAATGCAACTTGTTATTTGTCTGTAATGTAATGTGGAGCCGTTTGCAGTATCAGATATTTACCACAAACCAGCCAAAGGAGTAGCAAGTGGATATCAAAATCAAGAAAAATGACATATACTTTTATGCTTTCAATCATGGAGGATCCAAATCTCCTAGCCTTATGTATCAAGCCTGTGGATTTGAGTAAACAAATGAAAATGAAGCTGCTCTTAGCAGTGCTGGAGAGGCTGTGAGGAGGCTTCTGTCAGAATGATGCAGAATCTTAATAATTGGAGGAGGCAGAAGAAAAGCAGCTAAACTTCTGATTCTAAGGATGAAATAGAAATTAGGGAGAGAAGGGGACACACATTTGATGTGAAAACTGTTGAGGTAAAATAATCCTGAATCTTCATAATCTAGAATGTTTTTCTGGTATCTGGTACCTTACATAAAATAGGTAAACTGACATAATCCATTGTACAAGATCCAAAAGCGTGTACCTAGGTAGTTAAGTGTATCTGATCTTTTAATATTTCCACTTTTTTTCCCCTGAGATGCTTATATGAAACTTTTTTCCCCCTATAGGCTTATATGAAACTAGATTTCAATAAAACTGGGAGTGTGCCTATGATAGATGTCAGAAAATGTTACTGTGCAAAGAAACATCCTGTGGTATTGACAGGTAATTCACATGAACAAACTAACAAGCAAACCAAAATCTCAAACTACAGAAGTCGTCTTCTTAACAGAGACATAAGATCCGGAAACTGGTTGGAAATAAAAACTGTTTTCATATTTTCTTAGACTTGAGCTGTTAAAGGGGAACTTTCTTCATCTGAGGACTTAAAATCAGTCTCTCCAGAGCATGACAATAAGTAGTAATGGAGTTCATGTACACAGTTTTAATACTTGCTCTCTATCAATCTGCTAATACTGCTGGTATGCAGAGTAGCTCTTTTCCCTGCCTCTGTAAGCAGTTATTGCTCAGCTTTCATCTGTAAGTTTTCACTGGCAAATATGATACCAATAATTTTCACTTAGTAGAATACTCTTATTTTCACATTACTGTTTTCCATCAAAATATGCAAGGATTCCAACTGACACAGAATGTACTCAGCACTCGAATGATTTATTCAGAAGGAACTTAATTTATTTCTGGGACAGGTTTGCCATCCTTTGCAGAGGAAATGCTGGTTTATTCATTATTTTTTCAGGATTCTCAAAAATTTTTAAAGTCTGCCATTGAAAAAATAAGACCTTAAATATTTGTTTGTCAGTTTTAAAAAACAACACCCCATATACCCAACTAGTAGCTGTGAAAGTCTCCATGCTGTCATGACCCTTTCTTTTTTGTCTGTTAGAAGGATTTTTTTTATATTGCCAGTGATTTTAATGGTAACACATGAAGTCACATGGGGGTATGGAATACAATATGTGTTTTTTTTTCCAATGCTGTAATGCCATATTTTTTATACTTTTCTTCTCAATGCTATGAAATCATCTTGAGTATTATCTTTTTAAAATCACTAGGATACAGATGTAAATTGCAGAACACTTTTCAAACACATATTTCCATCTTAAAGTTTACCCAGAACTTTCAAGTTTTATTGCAGTAAACATGCTTTCTTACAAGATAACTTCAGAATTTTAGTTTACAAATGCATTATGCAGCTCTTGCAGTCATTTGAAGTAAAAAAAATTTCCTGATCTCATAATTCATTGCAACTGGTTAACCCCATGTTTTCTGTTGATACTTAATTCTATCATGCTATTAAAGTAAGGTAATTTCTACAGGTGGTAATAAGTAAGCCAATGACTTCATTCTGAAATCAGAATATTGAATTTGTGCATGAAAAAAGTATTTGCAAGCTAAAATTTGAAACTTTCTTGCCTTAAGTATATTAAATGCTACATATTCACTCTTCTTTAAAATGTATTTAATAGAAAAATATACTTTTATAGGCAAAACTGCAGAAGAAGAAATGAAATCTTCATTTCTAGAAGCATTAGGAGAGTCCTGCAGCAACCCCAATGAAGTGTCCTATTCTGAGTTTGAAGATTACTATGAAGGATTAAGTTTTGGAATTGTGGATGATGATGATTTTGTTAATATCTTAAGGAATTCATGGGGAATTTAGAGTGGAAGATGACAAAAAAGAGGGGACTTTTCTAAACAAGGAATGGCTGAATAAGAGAGGATGAAGTCTTGATATGCTTTCTAATTAGTGTCTTAAACTGATTTCAGTGACAGAAAACTTTAGATGCTTTCAAAATAATATGTGGCAAATTTCATGGAGTGTCTGTTGAGTTATGGTAGCCACTCTTCTAATAAAAATACTGTTCATGACTTTTCACTGGAAATTAAGGCTGTTTCCCATACCAAAAGCCATTTTTTTTTTTATAATAAAATAAAGTGTCCCATTTTAAAATAAGGGAATTAGAATACAAAAATGCCTGAAGGGGTATGTGCAAGAGAAAATTTTGTTTTATGATGCATTGTGAAAAGCTTCAGATTTGACTGCATAAATGTGAATTGTAGCTTTTCTTCAGAAATTTTTTTACAGCATTCTTTGTCTCACTTATTTTTTCTTATGCAGGTACTTAGCTTGAAAGAGAGCAGGTCATCCTTTTCTGATTTTGAGGATGTCTACTGTACTGAAAGTGCAGAGATGTTCACAGCATTAGCCCCTTGGCCTGTGCACTGTCTTGACTGATCTTGCTTTGTCATTTTGGTCAGGCATCTGAAGCTGAGCATTGAATCTCAAAGGTTTTAGTAATCACACATGTATTTTGTAATGCTTATCTTCCTTTCCTGTATTTTGCTAAGTAGTTTTCAAAACAAATAATTTATATTTAAATATCTGTTTTCTTTATATTGCTGGGATTTTTAAACTAAAACATAGCAATTAAATCTTTTGTCAAACTGATATATAGCATTTTCTATCTACTCTGAAAGTATAAAAGAGAAAAGTATTTTTAAAAAGGCCCAAAAAAAACACCTCTNTGGAGTTAGTTACTCATTCTAGTTGTTGAGTTTTGTTATTATTTTTCTTAAGTTCTGTACCTGGAAACTGACTTCTTAAAGCTTCAGTTCAGTTTAACAACAGAAAGGTAAATTAGTGGACTGTTAAAATAGTTCATTTTAAATTCTAGGAATAATTCCTTTATTATTTTGAGTTTTCATGCATATGTGCTGCTCTTATAGTTCAGTCCAGAGTATAAAGCATCTGACACCTTTAGATGATCTCTTCCAAAAGTCTGTTTCCTTATTTTTGCAAAAGACAAATTTTGGCAAATCTGCATGAGTAGGCTTTCTTCCTGCAGTGCCTGAAATAGGAGGCATTAATACTTGTCTCCTTTGAGACCTACAGTAAGAGTCATATTTGTGAGACATGTTAGGTGTGAAATGCAACTTGTTATTTGTCTGTAATGTAATGTGGAGCCGTTTGCAGTATCAGATATTTACCACAAACCAGCCAAAGGAGTAGCAAGTGGATATCAAAATCAAGAAAAATGACATATACTTTTATGCTTTCAATCATGGAGGATCCAAATCTCCTAGCCTTATGTATCAAGCCTGTGGATTTGAGTAAACAAATGAAAATGAAGCTGCTCTTAGCAGTGCTGGAGAGGCTGTGAGGAGGCTTCTGTCAGAATGATGCAGAATCTTAATAATTGGAGGAGGCAGAAGAAAAGCAGCTAAACTTCTGATTCTAAGGATGAAATAGAAATTAGGGAGAGAAGACAATTATTTTTCTTTGACCAGGGGACACACATTTGATGTGAAAACTGTTGAGGTAAAATAATCCTGAAACTTCATAATCTAGAATGTTTTTCTGGTATCTGGTACCTTACATAAAAGATCCAAAAGCGTGTGCCTAGGTAGTTAAGTGTATCTGATCTTTTAATATTTCCACTTTTTTTCCCCTGAGATGTTTATATGAAACTTTTTTCCCCCTATAGGCTTATATGAAACTAGATTTCAATAAAACTGGGAGTGTGCCTATGATAGATGTCAGAAAATGTTACTGTGCAAAGAAACATCCTGTGGTATTGACAGGTAATTCACATGAACAAACTAACAAGCAAACCAAAATCTCAAACTACAGAAGTCGTCTTCTTAACAGAGACATAAGATCCGGAAACTGGTTGGAAATAAAAACTGTTTTCATATTTTCTTAGACTTGAGCTGTTAAAGGGGAACTTTCTTCATCTGAGGACTTAAAATCAGTCTCTCCAGAGCATGACAATAAGTAGTAATGGAGTTCATGTACACAGTTTTAATACTTGCTCTCTATCAATCTGCTAATACTGCTGGTATGCAGAGTATCTCTTTTCCCTGCCTCTGTAAGCAGTTATTTCTCAGCTTTCATCTGTAAGTTTTCACTGGCAAATATGATACCAATAATTTTCACTTAGTAGAATACTCTTATTTTCACATTACTGTTTTCCATCAAAATATGCAAGGATTCCAACTGACACAGAATGTACTCAGCACTCGAATGATTTATTCAGAAGGAACTTAATTTATTTCTGGGACAGGTTTGCCATCCTTTGCAGAGGAAATGCTGGTTTATTCATTATTTTTTCAGGATTCTCAAAAATTTTTAAAGTCTGCCATTGAAAAAATAAGACCTTAAATATTTGTTTGTCAGTTTTAAAAAACAACACCCCATATACCCAACTAGTAGCTGTGAAAGTCTCCATGCTGTCATGACCCTTTCTTTTTTGTCTGTTAGAAGGATTTTTTTTATATTGCCAGTGATTTTAATGGTAACACATGAAGTCACATGGGGGTATGGAATACAATATGTGATTTTTTTTCCAATGCTGTAATGCCATATTTTTTATACTTTTCTTCTCAATGCTATGAAATCATCTTGAGTATTATCTTTTTAAAATCACTAGGATACAGATGTAAATTGCAGAACACTTTTCAAACACATATTTCCATCTTAAAGTTTACCCAGAACTTTCAAGTTTTATTGCAGTAAACATGCTTTCTTACAAGATAACTTCAGAATTTTAGTTTACAAATGCATTATGCAGCTCTTGCAGTCATTTGAAGAAAAAAAAAAATCCTGATCTCATAATTCATTGCAACTGGTTAACCCCATGTTTTCTGTTGATACTTAATTCTATCATGCTATTAAAGTAAGGTAATTTCTACAGTAAGGTAATTAAAAGTAAGGTAATTCTAAGTAAGCCAATGACTTCATTCTGAAATCAGAATATTGAATTTGTGCATGAAAAAAGTATTTGCAAACTAAAATTTGAAACTTTCTTGCCTTAAGTATATTAAATGCTACATATTCACTCTTCTTTAAAATGTATTTAATAGAAAAATATACTTTTATAGGCAAAACTGCAGAAGAAGAAATGAAATCTTCATTTCTAGAAGCATTAGGAGAGTCCTGCAGCAACCCCAATGAAGTGTCCTATTCTGAGTTTGAAGATTACTATGAAGGATTAAGTTTTGGAATTGTGGATGATGATGATTTTGTTAATATCTTAAGGAATTCATGGGGAATTTAGAGTGGAAGATGACAAAAAAGAGGGGACTTTTCTAAACAAGGAATGGCTGAATAAGAGAGGATTAAGTCTTGATATGCTTTCTAATTAGTGTCTTAAACTGATTTCAGTGACAGAAAACTTTAGATGCTTTCAAAATAATATGTGGCAAATTTCATGGAGTGTCTGTTGAGTTATGGTAGCCACTCTTCTAATAAAAATACTGTTCATGACTTTTCACTGGAAATTAAGGCTGTTTCCCATACCAAAAGCCATCAAGAGAAAATTTTGTTTTATGATGCATTGTGGAAAGCTTCAGATTTGACTGCATAAATGTGAATTGTAGCTTTTCTTCAGAAATTTTTTTATAGCATTCTTTGTCTCACTAATTTTCTCTTATGCAGGTACTTAGCTTGAAAGAGAGCAGGTCATCCTTTTCTGATTTTGAGGATGTCTACTGTACTGAAAGTGCAGAGATGTTCACAGCATTAGCCCCTTGGCCTGTGCACTGTCTTGACTGATCTTGCTTTGTCATTTTGGTCAGGCATCTGAAGCTGAGCATTGAATCTCAAAGGTTTTAGTAATCACACATGTATTTTGTAATGCTTATCTTCCTTTCCTGTATTTTGCTAAGTAGTTTTCAAAACAAATAATTTATATTTAAATATCTGTTTTCTTTATATTGCTGGGATTTTTAAACTAAAACATAGCAATTAAATCTTTTGTCAAACTGATATATAGCATTTTCTATCTACTCTGAAAGTATAAAAGAGAAAAGTATTTTTAAAAAGGCCCAAAAAAACCACCTCTGCCATCACAAAAATTAAATCATATATTAAAGTATTCTTTGCTATTTCAGATGTTCTGACAGGTACAATTCTCAATGTAATACATCTTGCTAATTCTGTAAAATTCTTTGTGTTAAGAAATAAAAATATATAGTAATGAGAGAAAGACTTTGGTTTTCATAGACCTGTCACTGAAATTAACTGTATGTTGAGCCTATGCAATTAAAATTTATAACTTTCCTCTAAGCCTATCTGCCAGGTTTTGAATTTATAGTCTGTGGTTAAAAGAATCTTCCTCTGAGACAGAATTTGTGTTTCATAGGAATTAAAGGGCAGTGCTGGGATGGATGCTGAAATGAGAGACTTTGGTCCCCTGTGGCTGACTAGCATAGTCTAGATATAGTATTTCCTTGTTCTAATAACTTGTGTGCTTTTATGTCTGGATTGTTTGACCTGGCCTCAGATGTAACAAGTACTGGAGGTTCTACTCTAAATCATCAAATGAGGGATTTTGGGGGGTTCTGTTGGAGCTGTAAAAGTCTGTATGTATTTTTACAGGGAAAGGCAGATTTTGTCAATACATATTCTAAGCAAGAATTCTGACTCATTACGATTTTCTTGTTCCCCATTCCTGCTGGAATTTCTCTCACTGGAAAGGTTTTTTTAATTAGTGTTCTTGGAACTGGTGATTCTGAGAATGGCAGGTAGTTCTGAGAAGGGAAGCTTTAGGTGGTAGTAGAGTCATCTGCTCATTAACTTGTCCATTCAAATAGCTGCAAAAATACCAAGTCACATTTTTGTTAGTTTTTTAAAGAAATCATGTGCTCTATTTAGACTTTTTCACTTAGGAGAATTGCACTATTTAGACTTTTTCACTTAGGAGAATTGCACAGCTCAATTTAATGAATGAAAGTGCTTGTGAAATGAGGTATTGACATATTTCTTTATGCAATGTTTAATTTTATTGTGAAGCTTTTAGAAAAATTGTTTCACATTTTCCTATGGAATGGAAAAATTCAAGACAAATAGATGTGTACTAATGAGGTGCTGTTAAAAGAACATAGCTTTGGTAGTTCTGCATTTTTTATTTTTTATTTTTTATCTGAAGACAGATCCCTAACAGGATAATCTAAGATAAATTCTAAAGGTCAAAATTTTCCAGAAAATGAAAGCAGCACTGTGGTAATTACCTGAAATCTGCTATTTGTATAATTTCTATTAACTACAAGGTCATTTACACAGGTCCTGCTTGACCAACTCTATCTCCTTTTATGATCAAGTGACCTACCTTGTGTATGAAGGAAAGGCTTTGGGAGCTTTGGGCTTCAGTAAAGTCTTTGACAGCATTTCCCACAGTGTTCTCCTGGAGAAGCTGGCTGCTCCTGGCTTGGCCAGGTGCACAGTTTGCTGGGTAAAAACTGGCTGGATGGCTGGTCCAAGAGGGTGGTGGTGAATGAAGATACATCCAGCTGGTGACTGGTCACTGGTGGTTTTCCCCAGGGCTCAGTAGTGGGGATAGTCCTGTTTAATACCTTTGCTGATGATCTGTAGGAGAGAATCAAGTACCCCTTGGTAAGTTTGCAGACTGTGTGGGAGCCTTGATCTGCTGGAGGGTAGGAAGGCTCAGCAGAGGGATCTGGGCTGGATCAATAGGCTAAGGCTAATTGTATGACGTCCTACACTTGGGC